GGAGGGGGGGGTGAACAATCGGAGACGTCGTTGTATTTTTCGATCCTTTTATTAAGTTTATCATAATGCTTCGAATCGATACAATGATTTCTGTGGTATACTGTCGTCTTTCGGGCCACAACGTCGACGATCGTCTCTCCCGCGCACGAACGTATGTGCCTCTGAGATCATCATACACGAAAAATGCGTATACGAAATCGGCGACCGGCGGACGCCGCGCGGTGTATTTCCGGTGTGTAATATGCGAAGTGAGTAGGCGCGCTCTCGCGTTGTCGGAAACACGAAGAAATCAATCCAAAAATATCGTCGTCTCTGTGGGCGCGACACCGGGGATCATCGGGCAAATTGGTCGAGTCGGGCAGACGGTGGGACGGTGGGACGAGGAGGGGGAGGGGGGTGGGGGTGGGGAAGGAGAGGGTGAAGGAGCGAATTACAGAGAGGGGTGATACGGCTGCTCTTTAAGCGACGACAGTTAACGCCGTGACACCGATGACACTTCGAGAGGCGGAAAAAAAAGAAAAGAAAGAAAAAAAAGGGGGGAGGGGGAGGGGGGAGAAAAGACAGTTAAATGCAGTTTAACAATCAGCGTTCTTATCAGCGTGCACGTCGAGCGTGTACGGCCGTATCTCTCGTTATTTCTACATCTTCTGCAAAAGTTTTTTCCTCTCTCTTTCTCTCTCTCTCTCTCTCTCTCTCACTCACTCTCACTCTCCGCTATCGCATGTAGACGGAAGTCGGAGAGGGTGATGGGGGTGGCGGGCGAAGGAGGAACGGAGAGACCCGGGACGTCGAGGGTGAAGAAGGATGAGGAGGATAAGGGGAGAGGAAGAGAAGAGCGCACGAAGGATATAAATATATAATAATATCTTATACCGCGCGTATTTTCGTAAAGTACGCTAAACGTTATTCCTTTCTCGTCAATCTCACTCGCGCGCACGCACACACTCTCTGTCTCTCTCTCTCTCTCTCTTTCTCTCTAGCTCTCTCGCACGTCGCGTCGGTATTATCGATCTGTATTTCTTTTTTTCCTTTTCTTCGTTTTGTTATCGTTTCATTTATTAAATGTTAAGAGTAGAGCCTATAAAGGGACGCCCGGAGGTGCGCTCACAGCGAACCCCGGGCGCGCTTTTTTTTTTTTTTCTCGTATACTAGCTGTGCCGGAACGCACTTGTACTGGTCGCACGATCGGCGAAGGATTCGGCTAAAGATGGACCGTGGCCGTCGAGACCGAGATCGTTACACGATATTTTAAATAACGTCGCGTGTTTTGAAAAAAGATCAACAGCGAATTCAGATACGTCTCGAAAACGAGCGAGTCAAGATCGTGAGATCGGACCCAGACCGTGCATGAATGAGCGCGAATGAACACGAGCGAAGTTCTAGCTCCACTTCAAGGGACACACGTTAGGTCTCTTATCGTTAAGATAGAGCGCAAGATTCTTGCATAACGCACAAGGTACAAGAAAATCAACCCCAGTCTCTCCTCTAATTTCATGGAAAAGGAGATGAAGGGCTTTGATTGGTTCATTTTCTTATGCATTATGCAAAATGTCCTCTCGTTCTTAGGTTGAAGGAAAAGAAAAAAATGGTCGTTACGCTCGCGTTCGTGTTCGTTGCAAACCGTTCCCTCGCGATCATTCGTTCTAGCCTGGATCGTCTGGATCCACACGATGAACATACGCGAGTTGCACAATAATTCGTATTTTATCGCTAACGGTTTAACCGTTCACCTGGGCAGGGTTCGATTGAAAGAAGGTGAATCAGTAAAAGAACGAGAAGAGGACTGTATTCGGCAGCCAATCTTTAGCCGAGCGATTCGCTCGCGACATATTATTTAACAACAGAGTTTAACCACCTAATCGCTCGGAGGATACTCGTAACTCCCCATCTTCGCCTCGGCTTTGTTTATACAGTGAATAGGATATAAAGATCCTTGTTTTTTTTTCCTCGTTTTTACCTACATGCTAGGCAATAAATGATCCAAATCTGCAATTCATTTACGATAACCAAATCGATGAACAATAAACGGAAAGAAAGAAGGCAAAAAAATTCCAAGGTGTGAATCGTTTGAAAAAAGAAAATGAAAAAAACAAAAAATGAAAAAAACGTACATCTCTCCTTTTCTCTGTCTCGAGTCGACGATAAACTTTAATAACCCATAGATACTTATTATCATCATAATGATACAATTACAGTTTGCGATTATCACAATGCGAGAACCGCCAATAATAATAGTAATAATAATAATAATATCAATGATAATAATAATGGCAATAATATATAATAATTAAAAATAAAATACTTAATAATAACTAATAATAATAATAATAATAATCTTCGCCATACTAATTACCATCGTCATTACAATGATTCATTTAGCCGTTATGGTTGCCTATATACTATCCTCTTTTATATATACTTCTATATATATAGCTACAATATATAATATTTTCGTGTTGAAAAATCGTATACATTAGTGTTGTGTCGCAGGACCATTGCTTCTCTCTCTCTCTCTCTCTCTCTCTCTCTCTCGCTCTCTTTCTCGTTCATTCTCGCACCTTTATTTCTCTCAATGCGTCTGCTATGCATCATTCCGCGTTCCGCTATATATCTTACTTTTGCTTTCTTGATGGATCGCAGATGAGAAGGGTAAGAAGGGGGGGGAGAAAACACTGTCGTCGATGGCTGGAAGCATTCGTGTCAATATAAAGTCTCCAAGTCTCGGAACATTCGGAGAGAATCGCAGAGACTCCCTTTTCTTTCTCGCGCAGGCCGTTTATAGGGCATTTCGCGCGCGCGATTAACTCCGCGAATGCGGCTCTGCGCTTTGTAAAAAGCTTCGGAAATATTCGGTGCGACGCACCTCTCTCTGGCAAGATCGCGAGATGCACGACGTTTCTCGACGTGGTCCGTCGTGGTGGAGAATCTCGAGTCTCGCGCGGTCGACATTATTAATTAACGTAACGCGGCGAATTGAAAAAGAGACGTGGGAAAGGAGGAAACAAAACGCGCGCACGAGTAGAATCCTCGAATTGTTGATATCTCGCGGTTCTTCCTTCCTCGAGAGCCTTATACATCCTCCGCGTGTATCCGCGGGCGAGAAAAACGGCGTACGAGGGAGAAGGCGTAGTCAGATGGAAATCTTGGGCGATTTTAGGTGAGAACACGAGTGCCTCCAGACACGAGCGCGTTACGTAATCTTAATAGCTTAATATCGATTTTTAGTTCGTATTACTCGCCGTTCAAAGGCGAGCCTCGGATCACAGATAGTGAGGTGATCGGATTGCGCGAGCGTTATTCGCGATAACAACGCGGTCTCGTATTCATATTCTTTTCCGCTTTCTCTCTCTCTCTCTCTCTCTCTCTTTCTTCTTCGCTCATTCTCGCACTCACACATACACGCACGCAAGTTCTCTCTCTCTCGCTTTCTTTCTTTTTTTTTTCTTTTTTAAGTTTGTCAGTATGCGTTCTTCCTGCGTTTCTCCTAAGGATTTCAAGGCGACAGCTCCTGAAAGCAAACAGCATCCGGCATCGTGTACGCGCACGAATTCACAGTGGCGTGAAAAAAGATCGTCCGAGAAGATTCGCAAAGAGGGACCCATCTCTCTCCCTTGCCTCGTCGTCGGAAACGTTCTCGCAAACGATCCCGACTCGATGCAGACGCGTATATATACATCCGCGGCGAACGAACCGTTTCGTTTTATCCGGGAAAGGTCCCGACTTGTCCTCAGGCAACTGTGCACGCGCGCGCGCTCACGTATCTTTCTCTCTTTGTTTTTTTTTTTTTTTTTTTTTTGGTTTTCTTTTTTCTCCACTCGAAACGCAATCCTCGTGCGTCCTCTGCTCGGTTCGTTACAACAAGAGATCTCTTTTCCCGCCGCACGCGGAGTAGCGTGCGAGGTATACAGATATACGAAAGTATAGAATGTATATATAATATATATATTTTTTATACACATGTATAATATATACGTATACACAATACATATGTACCTACGTACGTACGGCCAACTAAGGGGTAGACAGGCGCAATCACGTGTCGAATCCGATTGATCGGCCGCGCTTAGGATTTTTGTCCGTCGACGTCATGAAAACCGGACGATCGACTTCTCTCTCTTTCTTTTTTTCCAAAGGCCTTTTTCGCTGTCGATTTCGGATTCAACATTCTATATGTGTGTGTGTGTGTGTGTGTGTATGTGTGTGTGTCGTGGGTGACAAAATCGATAAAGACGAAAGGATAATTGAAGAGAAACAAATTTAATGAGACTTTCGTGCTCGGTAGTGCAATTACAAAAAAAAGAGGGGGGGGGAGGGATGGGAGGGAAAATTTAAGCCGATCCGTTCGCGGAAATACAGTCATGCACATCGATTTTCCAACGCAATCGCGATCCTTGATCAATGCCCCGCGTTGTCGAATTCGAGACGCGAGCGATTAGAAATAGGCCGATAAGTTCGGAACTCCGAGCCACGTCGAAGTTTTCTACGGCGGAGACATATGCGTGGTGTTTCCAGGAACTTCGATTCCTGGGAACGTATCCCGAGAGCGAATTCTAAGAATTCTCAGAACTTTTTGACATTAAAGTCGTCCAACTGTTATCGACACAAATATAAAATCAACGCAAGTCTAAGAATCAACTCTTACGCCCGTTTCCACCAATGTAGTTGAATTTTAATCTTCGGTTCAACTTACTCCTCGTCTTTCTTTTAGTTCTAAAGATTAGAAAAAGACGAAGAATAAGTTGAACCGGAGATTAAAGTTAATCTACATTGGTGGAAACGGACATTAGGCTGGTATTCGATAGTCGTTCTTATATTTAAGTACAGTCTTAAGATATCATAAGCCGTATTATCATCTTAATGGGCTCTCTACAATAAGTCATTGCTTAAGCTTTAAGTCTTAAACTATAAGAAATTGACCAGTCACAGTCGAATGTAAGAAGAATAATCGACTACGATCAGTCAATTTCTTATGGCTTAAGACTTAAAACTTAAGTAATTATAGAAAGTATATTAGAAATTATAGCTTATTGTAGAAAGCTCATTAGATATTAAATTATTTAAGTCGATTTTGAAATAAGAATCGACTATGAATGCCAGCCTAAATATATTCTTTTCGCGGATCCCTCGTGACTATAAAGGTGCAGTTAGAATCTCACAAAGGCTTTGAAGCATTTCGTTGATCAATTGGAAGAAAAAATTTTAACTGACTGATCAATCAAAGAATATTTCGAAGTATTCGTAGCGTCACGTTGACTGAAACAGAAAGTCGACTTTTTATTTCCTCAGCGAATTCGAACCTCTCAGCGTACGCAACGTGCAAAGGATCGTGATTGCATTTTAAAGCTCAACTTAGAAAATAAAGGGTACAGGGTTCAGAACGTAAAAGACATTCGCCAGCATTACATAAGAATAAGATTAACATGTCGGGAACGAATAACAAGACATTAACATAAGAGCCGTGTTCATATGTTGTGAAAAATGATGTTTACGCACAGCGTTTCCAAAAAAAAAAAGAAAAAAAGACTGCAGTCTCCAAACGGATCTTCATCAAGCTTATTAAAAAAAAATCGATTAAATTTATTAAAAGAAAAAAAAAATAAATAAATAAAACTACAAAAAAGTAAAGATATCCTCCGGTGCCGATGATGTCACAATTATTTGACGTCGTACAAATAAAATAATCATGATGGAATACTTTTGGTCTTAACAATAAAATCTCACTGAAATTAGAGAGGCTTGGAAACGCCGCGTCCTTGTTGTAGCAGTTGTAAATGTGATTGGTCTGTGTACGCTCTCTCCCTAGCTAGACGCGTGTACGTCGACCTATTGTCTTCAGAGAAACGGACTTCCGCCGTAAGGAGGAGCACACTGACCTACCGCCTTTGTCGCTCGCGTATTTTTTATTTTTTTTTTTCCTCTCACCGTTCACTTTCCTCCGTTCGCTCTGTGCGCCTCGCCTCTCTCGGAGCACGCGATCTCTCGCGAAAAATTGCTCGACATAGTCCGCCATAGTCCCGGATAACAAAGGATACGTGAACGGAGACGCGCTTTAATCGCGTTTCACGACCGATGATCTCTCTTCGATCCCCGAGCACCGAGATACACGCTCGCGTATACATTAGTTGACAACGAACAACAGCCAGACGACTTAATCGCTCCGTCATCTTCCGAGTTCCGAGCTTGCCACCTGCCTTCTGCGATGAGCTCGGACGGTCCACGCGTACGTCCGCACGTATCCTTCTTCCTTCTGATACAGAATCAAAACGAGAAGAGAGTTGCTCGAAGAGTTTGAAAACGAACACTACTTGTTAGGAACACCAGCAGAACGGACCGTGTATATATATCATATATTTCGTATACGTTTCTCTTTCACCCTGTGGCGTGTGCCATGTTGTGTCGTGTTGTGTCTTGTCGATTGGGATTGCGTTGCTGTATGTGATGTTGGTTTCTCGTTTAATCGCTCGCTCGCACGCACGCACGCTCGCTCCGCTCGCTCCTCTTTGCACGCATCGCTCGTACAGTCTCTCTCTCTCTCTCTCGCCTAACACGTCGCGCGCGCGCGTGTGTGTTCCGCCTCGCGGAAGGAAGGATGAGGGGGAAGAAAGAAAACACGAGTGTGAGTCTTTAGACACGCGGCCGCTTTTCGTTTTCCCGGTCGGAATCAGAGTCCGCTGAATCGTGGAGAGGCGGAAATTCGGGCACCGCCTCGCGCTGTTGCATCCATCCCGCCGCGCCTGGCCCCCCAGCCAATGCCTTGCCCTGCGTCATGTTTTTCGATTGTTTGTTTTTTGTTTTGCAATTGATTTTTAGCCCTCTGTCTTTATCCCCTGCAGGATGGCGACAAAATAGCGTGTCATTGGTCACTAAGCCTCGCCTCGATACCCGGTAGAAAAAAAAAAGAAGAAAAAAAAAAAAGAAGACTCGCTTCGCTTCGCGCTTCACTCTCTAAGGAGAACGTTCGATTTACGCGCCGCTCGGCGGCGAGTATGCCGAACCTTCGATCAAGCTCGGCCGTACGTTGCATCGGCCGTATTATCGGGGAACGAGAAACAGAGATGTTCTACCTTCTTCTACTTATTACGAGAATTTTTCGAAATACGCGAAAATTTCAAGTAGATTCCGACACTCGAATTTATAGTGCGGCTCGAACAGTCGGCTCGATATCTTGGAACTGTTTCGCGTTATTACTCGCGATCATATATTACTCGTCCCTCGTTCCGACCCGCGTCCCCGAAAGGATCCAGGACACTCGTCTCCATTTCGTCCGCGAAACTTGTTAACTCGGATATCGGGAGATCCTTCCGAGCAACGCCGATGCAACGACACGCCAGCGTCTATTCTACTGTCTACGCGAAATTCTGAACTCTGCAAAAACGAGCTACAATGAAATTTTTGATTCCATTCACTCCCTCTGTCACGCTTCCACCTTCCGTCTTTCGATCGTCTTTTGCCTTCATTCATTCAAATGGCTCCAACCAATCGTCTCTCTTTCTCTCTCATTTTTTCTCTTTCGCTCTCTTTCTCTCTCAGATCAGGACAAAGGCGCGCGCGCACACGTACTACCGTGTAAAACCACTATACACGTGGGCCTCAGAAAATAGCGTTATCGTAACTCGCGACGTTTTTTTCTTTTTACTTTTAGATCCATCAAATTAGCGTTGACAAACTAAGTTTCCTAATCTTCCGTGACATCTTGCAAAAGCGTACTTTAAGAATCGCGTCCAAAGATCGATAGTGACTTTTTCGCTTCGGAGGCTCTCGTGTCTTGAAACTCTACATGCAGCCATGCATGTCACGAAAACTATCTGCCCTAGTATCTCTCCAACTATAAGATATACACTCCAACGTTGCCTTGTTTTCCTTCTATCAGTCTATATATACATATTATACGTGTGAAAACTGTGTGTGTGTGTGTGTGTGTGTGTGTGTATGTGTATGTATGTGTAAAGAGCTGCCTTTAAGTAAATCTCTAAGAATTAAGTATCGAAAGCCGTGTAAAGAGCGACATATGAAACCGCGCGCAATGCGTAGGGTGCGTGTATGCTGCCATATATATTTATGTACAAACGGACATAGATTCGTATGATTCACGTCACTACTGGTCTTCCGATGTTGGCCTCTCAGACGCCGAGAAAGAGGGGGAGGGTCGACAGAGACGTCTTTCGCGCGAATAATTTCGAGGCCCTGTTTTTCCCGAATTCTCTCGCAACTGGAAGAACGTCGGTGTTCAAACTAGCGGTTCGCAACCATCTTGTCACCCGTCCGAGAGCCACTCGCCGCGTTA